GCGGCAGCGCCGCGACCTCGAGGCAGGACCGCGGCGCGCCGTCCGGGGCCGGCGCCGCGCCCGCTCTTCCCGCCGCGGCGATCGCGGCGTCGCGGTCGCGGACGGCGTCGACGATGGCTTCGTCGTAGACGACGAGGGCCTCGTCGCCGTCGTAGTCCCCGCCGGACATGCGCTCGGCCTCGGAGCCCGAGACGTCCGCGCGCGCCGCCGCGAGCACGAGGACGCCGTCGAGGTGCTGGAGCCGCGGCGCGGCGCCGACGCAGCGCAGGACCCGCACGCAGGCCGAGAAGTAGGACGGGTCCCGCATCACCAGGACGTAGCCCTCCCGGGGCACGCCGTCGACGGACAGGTAGCACTCGCCGTCGCCGAGGACGCCCGCGCGGTCGGGCACGAGCCGCGCGCGCAGCGAGTCGTCGAGGAAGAGGCGGAACGCGGGCTTTTTGGCGCCCCCGGAGACGCGGCCGCAGGCGGCCCGCAGGTCGCGCTCGAGGACCCGGACGCCGAGCTCCTGGCGCATGGGCTCGCGCGGGTCGACGCCCGCGCGGATCATGGCCCCGAGCCGCTCCTCGTCGCCGAGCGGCGCGGCGCCCGCCGGGGCCCCGGCCGCGCGCGCGGCGGCGCAGGCGCGCTCGTACTGGCGCACGAGCTTCCGATCGAGCCGCGCCGTCGCCGAGGCCTCGCCGTCGCCGCCGCGCGCGGCCCCGGAGACGGCCGCCGCGCGCGCCTCGACGAAGCCGCGCTGGCGCTCGCGGAGGAGCTCGACGGGCACGCCCCGCGCGACGACGTTGCGCAGGTTGGCGGCGCTCAGGGCCTGCGGGCCCGGGCGGATCTCGGCGAAGTGGCAGACGTCGACGACGCGCCAGGCGGCGTCGCCGGCCTGGTCCGCGTCGAACTTGAGGTTGCCGACCGGGATCTTGACGCCCGCGATCGTCGGGTCGACGACGAGCATGCCCTTGAAGGGCACGATGCGGACCTGGGCCGCGCAGGGCACGTCCGCCCCGGGCCGCACGGCGCGGGCGATGCGGCGCATGACGAGCGGGCCGCAGTACGCGACGCCGTCGTCGACGTGCGACCCGCGGCGGACGAGGTCGTCGACGACGGCGATCTCCGCCGGCCCGAGCACGAGGGCGTGGTGCGTGTCCGAGCAGGACAGCTGATGCGCTG